CCAGGGGGGGGGGACGGACGATGGGAAGAGTGAGCGAGCGGCTGTGTGGTACTCAGTTCTGACTGAGGTTAAACCATGACATCCTGTCCAACAAGATAGCAAACAAAAACATTGCAATGGACTTCTTCTTTCAATTTCCCACAACTCAGTTCTGGAAACCACAGCAGCAGGGTTTGAGGAAGAAAATGGGGCAGATAAGACACACAGAGTGACCAAGCTTTTACAGGAGGTTTTAGAGGTAGCCACAGTTCTGGCTGCTGGGAGGTGGTATGGGACAGAGCAGAACTCACACCAGAAGACCAGTTTGGAAGAAAATGTAACTTGCTAGAAACAGTCTCCATGCCCCAAATTTGGAACACAAAGTTTTTCTTGAGATGTCCTGACAAAAGAGGGATCTTGGGAGATGATACTGGGTTTGCCTGCAGAAGTACTGAAGGGAAGTTCCTGATCCCATCTCCCTGCAAACACACACACACACACACACAGAGGTATACACAACTACAAACCCATTCTTCTACATTAGTTGTACAATATGGCAAATGAAGGTAGACAGAAGAATTGGTCCCTGTCCCTGCTTTGTGCAGCCACTCTTGAAGGATAAGTGGTAAAACTTTGAGCAAGAGTTTCAGCCATGTCTCTGAGTGAAGCCAATGCCCTTGACTAGTCCACCCCAATAGCAGCAGTCAGGGTTTAGGTAGGGATGGACACAGTAGGTGTTTGCACAGAGGTAGAATAATGCAAAAGTCTTCCTCTTAATGTATTCCTCTTCGATAAGGATTTATCTGAGAGAGGTACCTTTCTCCAGCATGTGAGAAACAGGCATTATGTCTGTCTTGGTTCAGGGGGCAGCAGATGTCATAGCAAGAGGGAGAGATGAAGATATACAGTCAGGTATAGCACTTTAGAAAGCTTCAGAAGGACAATCCCCACATATTGAACTAGGAAGTTGGGTGGAAAGGACAAAAAGTTTATCAGATTAGCATATTTCATGATGGCATCTGTAATCCCTGTTTTCAGGTGGGCAACCTGGCCACATCCCAGCTGCCTGTCAGAACAAGACCTGGATGCTCACTACTCCTTGGCACAGTAACTTTTCCTTTGGAAAGGAACTCGGGTCTGAGGATAGAGAAGGAGCCACAAGTGACATTCACTTCTGAGGATACGTACACTGAAGACATGGTCTGACTGTACCAAAAAAACTCTGTCGTGGTTCAAACCTAAGCTAGCTTCTGGTTTTCCTCAAGAAACCCTGTGATGCCTAGTCTTGGAGATGCTGTCATCAGCTGGAAAAACCATCAGACGAGCCATATTGGAAGGACAGCCTGGGAATACACCTCATTCTCCTGCATATTGCTTCTTTCTGCAGAGGAAAGCACAGCCAGTGCTCTCCACTCCCTCAATCCTACTATACAAGTCTCTTAGAAATTTCCCAGTGGGAATCGTGTTGTGGGGAAGGTGGTGGTGTGCCCTGCTGGTTTTGTCCCACCTGCTCAGATAGCAGTAACAGTGTATTCACCCTCTTAAAAAATTCCCTATTGCCTTGGAAAGCACTGGCACGTGCTGGCTTACCTTCCTTCTCCCTGTTCTGACAGATGATTCTTCTTTATAGGATACACTTGACTGTCTTTAATAAATGATGATCCTTGCCAAGCCAAGTGAAGAAATAAAGTGAAATGTATGTGTTTTTCATGACAGCCCCTGTCTTTTTTCTAAGGACTTTTCTATAAAAACTTCGTCCAAGGGTGTCTGATATTTTTTTATACAAAGCAGGGCTTTCCCCCCTACTATTTCTCACTTTTTCTCTCTTTTATCTCACCTCAAATTCTTCTATGTTCCCTTACAACATTTATTCCTCTACCTTTTTATGTTTCTTTGCACTCCTGCTGTGTCTTATACTGTTTCCCCCTTTATTCCTTTTTTTTTTCTTTTTAATTTGGTTTCCTTTTACCTTTTCTTGCTAGACCACAGATGAAGAGCGTACAAAGTTGTTTTGGGAAAGAAAAAAGAGAAATGGCATTTAAAGGAGTTCTGACACTGGAAACACATCTGTTCTGGCTTTTAAAAGCTTATAAGAAAAGAGGAAAGAGGAGATTATTGAGTATGTGAAACTTGCTATTCCTAGATACACTGATAATGAGAAGTAACACTCAACCAAAAACTTTATTCTGCAGTGATTTGCTTTGATGATACATGGTGTTTAACCATTTTTTCCTTTTCTCCAATGTACTCCTATAGCTCTCAGAGGCCTGTGTTGGCCCCCCGCAGAATCAGTTACTAGGTATATCCTTAGCAGAAGTCAGAAGGCAGTTCCTGCCCCAAAATGCTCACAGTCTAAATGCAACAGAAAAAGTAAAGGAGATGAAAAATAACGGACAATTGAACTGAAACTGCTATTTCTGATCTGTAAGTTAGAGAGTGGCATAAAGGAACCACTCTCCTGTGAAAGGGCTTGTATTAGGTTGGATGAGCTTCCTACTGAACTGGAGTTGCTACACCAGGAATCATGATTTGTACCATGCTGCAGTATGCTACTGAAAGTAACCATCACTCTGATAACTCACCCTCCTGAGCCACTGACACCTTCTGAGCAAGTCACAGACCAGGGAATAGGATCTCCACACAATGGTGGGCAGCAGTGCCCAGCAGGAGGTCTGTCTGGTTTGACCCCCTTTGCGTTAGGTCTGTTTTTGCTGTGCAAAAGAGTTCTTACTGTGCATCCCTGAACAGAGCTTCCCTGCTGTGTCCCTTTCTTGGTAGCTTGAATTGAGTAGTGAGTTATTTGGAACCTCCTGTTGGCTGTAAAATCCTCCTTGTACAGTAGGCGTGTGAGCTCACTTGTGGCAGGCTGGACATGTTTGCTGTGCAACTTCTTAATGCCAATTGTTCTCCAGCTAAAGTCAGGATTGGATGAGCTAATATGGATGTTATCATGACAGTGGCACGGCCACACTGCCTGGGAATTACTGGGGATTTGTGCTGCATGGGATGTTTGCATACATTCCTTATCTTGAAAGGTTCACCACAAAGTAGAAGGACTAGACTAGCAAAAGCTTTAAGTCCCAATGTTTGCATTGCAACCAAAGAAGACAGTGGAGGAGAGAGCCAAGGGTCAGTATACTGCTGGTGCACTTGTAACTTCTTGCAGGGGCATTGTTAGAACTCTGGTTGTGATATTGGTTTAAGAAT